GAGAAGGCGAATTCATCGGCCTCTCTGGGTTTGCCGAAGGGAGGTAAGTCCCTAAACTACATTTTATTGGAGATTTAAGGGATTTGCAAGAATTGACTGTGAATTTTTTTCCCTCTTCAATTCTCCTTGAGGTGTGACCCCAAACTCCCCTGAAGGGTTTTAATAAGGGGTGGGTAGATTAGGTTGATGTGAAGCAGAAGGCACAGAACTGGGACACAGGAGCACCAGGGAGCTCATCTCTTCCCTGAGCTCAGCACAAATGCTGAATTAGTCTCTCCAGCTTCTCAACTCTCTCCTCTAGGGCTCCACCACCAGCCAGGCTGAGGCCTCTCCTCCACCACTGCACACCCAGCCAGATTCCCCAGCACTGGTGGTCAAACCTCTTCCATCCTTTTTGAATCCGTCCACCTCTGTTTCTTGCTGCTGACGCTGGCCCACAACTCTCGCCTGAATTACTGCCACCTCCTCTTTTTATTTTTGGTACTGGGGATTGAACTCAGGGAGACTCTGGACGACTGAGCCACATCCTCAGCCCTATTTTGTATATTTTCTAGAGACAGGGTCTCATTGAGTTGCTTAGTGCCTCACTTTTGCTGAGGCTGGCTTTGAACTCTCAATCCTCCTGCCTCAGCCTCCTCTTTTGCTCCCAGCTTCCTCTTCTCCCATCCTGCCCTAGCAAGGCCAGTCATGTGACCAACTCCTGGCTTAACTCCCAGTTGCCCTTCAGGTATGGACTAAGACTTCCGGTGCACTACCCGCCAAGTCCCGGCCCATCGCTCCAGGTTTATGCTCCTGACACCACCTGGAGGCCTCACTCCAGCACCCTTAGCTTTTCCTCACTTCCAGGGGCTCCATTTCCTCACCTTTGGGCCTGGGTGTCTATGGTCCCCCTGCCAGGATCACTTTCTTACCTTTGCAAACCCCCACGAGGGGCCAGCTCTCAGCTCTGGGAAACCCAAAGTCACTTCTTCCAGGCAGTGTCCTCTCAGTCTTAGCCTCTTTGCATCAGGAGTCTCTTTGCCATGGCAGCACCTAGAATCACCCCATCCTGGCCCTGCATCATTACGTTGTTTTATGCCCTCTCCCCACTCACTAGCTGGTTTAACTCTGTGGTGAAAGTTGCATTTCTCAGACACAGAACTTGAACACAGAGTTGACTCTTCTACTCCTTAGTTTTTCTTATATAACAATGGATATGTAGCAGGCTTTCTGTGGTTGGGTCTGGACAGGTCCATGGCAGGAAAGCAGACATCAACTTGGCTGAGGGTTAACTCTACTTGTGGAAGGAGCACTGGATGTGGAGTCCTCATCTTAGTACTCCCATGGGCTTGTTGATTGACTTTACTGAGTCTCAGTCCCTGGCCTTTCAAATGGGTGATGCAGAGGCCTCCTGTCAGCTGATGCCCTGGTGTGGTACTGATAGGGTGTGAAACCTATCTTGTTAGGTGGGTGACCTAATCTGTGCTTACTCCCTTTTTGGGAAAATGGATTCAGTGGTTCTTACTTCTCATGCTTGCTGAGACATATACCTAAGTAAATCATTTAAGACCGAGGCTGGTGCTCAACCTATCCTCTTGAGATGGGAGGAAATTCCTTCCCACTGTGAGCAGAAAAATGTAGGTGAGTTTTCCTGGTTTCCTTCCATTAGTTTCTGGGATTAAAAACAAGAACAGAGGGATGGAGGGTGCAACCACAGTCCCTCCGAGGTTGTACCACTCAATGTGCACTGGTGACCTGCMAGGCACTGTGCAGAGCACTCCTCCACCTGCTCAGTCCTTATGACAGCAGCATGTGCTGATATCCTTATTATACAGATCAGAAAAAGAGCACAGAAATGTGGGGGGTGGCGTTCAAGGCCATCCTAGCTAAGATTTCCCAGTCAGCATCTCTGTGTTCCAGTCATACTGGCTGTGCTGTCCACTCCTCTTCAAAGGAGCTGGGAAGGGAGGTGGAGGGAGGAATACTGAGAGTGAGGTGAGAGGCCAAGGAGAGAATGCAGAGCTGCTGGTGTTGGAGAAGGGGTGCTGGGAGTGCTGAGTTATCTCTGGCTGTGCCTTGCTCCTCCCTTGTTTACTGAAACTCTTTGCCCTTTTGCTTTCTCTTTCTCTTCCACTTCCTAGTGTGCTCCTTGCATTCAGTTTGAGAAGTGTTGTGGGAAAGGTCAGGAAGAGGATGGCTCCAGGCCCTATTGGGAGGGTGGGAAAGCCCGTTTCCCAGTCTGAAAGCACTGCAAGGTTCCTTGGGCCCCCTGAGGATGCTTGGGAAACAGGTGAATCAGGAGCTTGGAGATGCTGTGGGTCACTGGTACTAACCCCTAGAGAGGCTTTGTAGATGAAAATAACAGCAGTGTTTTCCAGACCAATTTCAGCTCAAAACTGGCCCATGAGTAAGACTTGCAGTCTTGCATCTGGAAAAAAAAAATTAGAGTCATATCACCTTTTGTGTAGGTGTGTACCAGGTCATGATGTCAAATGTACATCTTATTGTAGGTCACATTAAAAAAAAACTGAGGGGGGCTGGGGTTGTAGCTCAGTACTAGAGCACTTGCCTACCTAGCATGTGTGAGGCACTGGGTTCAGTTCTCAGTATCATATAAAAAATAAATAAGATGAAGTTATAAAGAAAACAAATGACAAAACAAAACTGAGGGGCTGGGTTTGTGGCTCAGTGGTAAGAGTACTCACCTTGCAGCACCACATAAAAATAAAGGTATTATGTCCATCTACAACTTAAAAAAATATTAAAATAAACAAACTGAAGGCCAGGCCTGATGGTGCATGTCTGTAATCCCAGTGACTTGGAAAGCTGAGGTAGTATGATTGCATGTTCAAGGCCAGCCTGGGCACTTGGGAACACCCTGTCTCAAAATAAAAAGGGCGGGATGTAGCTCAGTGGTAAGAGTCCCTCTGGGTTCAATCCTCAGTACTGGAAAAAAGAGAGAGGGAGAGAGAAAGGAAGGCAGGTAGACAAACAGTTTTAGAGCAAGGGCTTTGTAGTCTGTAAACTTGGTTTAAAAATTTTGGTTTTGCCACTTGTGTCAAAGTTCATTTGGGACTAGAGAAATAGCTTAGTGATAGAGTGATTGCCCCACATGCATGGGGCCCTGGGTTCCTTCCAGCACCACAAAAAAGGGGGGAAAACGTTTATCTGTGAAATGTGAACATTAAAATGTATCTTGTATTTTCTGAGGATTAAGTGAAAAGTGCATGTAATTATCACAGTCTGTGGTCCTTGGTATATACCCAAGTGATGTGGCAGAGCAGGACCTGCCCACAAGTCGTAGAATTTTTTTGAAACTCAGTGACATTGATGTCACTGGCTGAAATTGGCCATGGTGAAGCCATTTACATCACTGAAATGAACAAGTGCTATAAATTGGGGGGGGGGGGGTTACTGTTTGTTTTATCTTTTTCCTTGGGAGCTCSTTGTTAGACATTTACCAATTTGTCCTTGGTGCTAATAATTCTTCCTTTAGTTTGTGATACCAGGGATTGAACCCAGGGATGCTTTGCCACCGAGCTACATCCCTATCCTTTTTTTTTTTTTTAAATTGAGGGTCTCCCTAAATTGCTGAGGTTGGCCTCAAATTTGTGATCCTCTGCCTCAATCAGGAATGGCTGGGTAATCCCAGGCTTGTGCCAACCTACCTGGCTCAGAAAACCCTCGAACTTCAAAGAGAGTTGTCAATTTGTAATAGAGTGGAGCCGGACTCAATTGAAAACAAGGTTTAGAGGGAGARATACCATGAATTTCTAGGTTTGGATGAGAGTTTCAGGAAGACCTTTGTATTCTCTAACCACATGGACTGTATGCCACTCTAAATATTTATTGATCACCCACCATGGACTAACTTGAACATTAAATTCAGTGCTTGAGCTTTAAGAGCCCATAATAAAAGTGCTGGAAGGCAAACAACCTAGTCCCAAATTCTGGTTACAAACACCCAGGGAGAGATTTCAGGCATTTCCAGGTCCATGTGTTGAGGCCCTGAAGTGAGAGCAGTGCTGGGGCATCTGTCACTGTGGGAAAGCACTGTTTTAACAGGAATGCCTCTGCTCTACTTGGTAGTTCAAGGCTCTGCTTTAAAAGCAGGTCTTGTAGGACCATCACATCCTCAATGTGCAAGGGAACTAACACAACCCTTAGAGCGGATAATGCACTCCACSAGAAAGGAACAGGTACTTGGGTATGGTTTCTTGGTAGAACTAGACCCCCAGTTGGGTCCAAAGGACCTGTTGGTGTGGTACCTCTTTGCCTTAAGAGGGCTTCCACAATAGTGTGGTCCTGCTTAAGTATGACAGCAGACAACATTTATAATTTCATAACAGAAACGGGTCCTAACAGAAAAGGTGACTTTACTTGCCCAAGGCCATACAGCCTCCGGGGCAATCGTGGACTGAAACCCAGAAATGACCCTGGGAGTGGACTGGACAGCTTCAGGCTTTGCAAAATGAGTCTGGACTGCAGCTTCCCTATCTGGAAAACCGGATGCAGGTGTCGCCTTCTCCCACGAAGAGGCGCCCAGATGCCCCAGCTATGTACCAGAGTGCATAACCCAGGGCGGGTGATTTCCAGGCCCGGATGTGAAGCCAGGCTACTACGAGGCCTGCACTTTCGGGGGTCTGCGAACACCCGCTTCAGCCGCCCGCGCCACCCCGCGGGTAGGGAAGCCGCTCCGCCACCACGTGACGCGCGGGCCGTGAGGGGACGCGCAGAACGGCGAGGCCCCGCCCCTCGGGCCGCCGCGCGCCCGTCGCGCGCAAATGTCCCGGGTCGGGCTGGAGAAGGGGAAAGAGGGGGAGGGGAACGCGGCGCGGGGGGCCGGCCCATACGTCGCGGCGTTCCTTCCTCCCGCCTCTTCGCCAGGCCCAGTGTCTCCTCGACGCGGCCCCGCCCCCTCGCCCCGGCGCCCCAGCCAATGGCGCGGCGGCGCGAGCCTCTCCGGTCGGGGGCGGGGCGTGCGCGCGAGCCTGGCGCGCCTGCGCTCTGCCACCCGCCCCTCGCCGTGAGGAGGAGGTGGAGGAGGAGGCGGCTCGGGGAGAGCGAGCAGCGAGCCGGAGCGCGGAGCGTCAGTAAGGGAGCCTAGCCATCCGCTGCCGCCTCCCCTCCGCAAGCAGGAGCCCCGGCCGGGGCCCGGCACGCCGCCCCCGCCCCTCCCTCGTCGTCAGGCCGCGAGGGCAGCGCGAGCGAGCGAGGGGGAGGGCGAGCGAGCGAGCGCCGGGAGGAGGCGGCCGGACCGAGCGGGCGCCCGCGCGTGTGGCGTGAGGGGAAGCCGCCTGCCCGCCCCCTTCGCCTTCCCTTCTCTCCCCCTCCCCGCTCCCCCCCCGACCGCGGAGCAGCACCATGTCGGCGCCGGCGGCCAAAGTCAGTAAAAAGGAGCTCAACTCCAACCACGACGGGGCCGACGAGACCTCAGGTGAGGAGCGAGCGAGGCGGGGGCCGTCCGCGCCGCCATCTTCGCCGCCTGCCCGGGCCGCGGGCGCTGGCGGGGCGCGGGGGGCGCGCGGCCGGGCGGGGGCCGTGGGTTCGGCGCCCTTTTTTGTGCGCGGCGGGGCCGGGGGCCTGGGTGGCGCCGCGGCGGCGGGCGGCGCTGCGAGGCGGGGGCGCTGCGGCCTGCTCGGCGCGGGCGGAGGAGACCCCCCCTTCTCCCCCCTCCCTCGCTCTCCTCCCCCTCCCTCCCTCCCGAGAAGCCTCTCTTTATTGTGCTCCGCCATGATGCCTCGCTCCCATCAGCCGCCGCCGCCGCCACATGGTGCGGCCGGACGCGGCCCCGCGCTCGGCCTTCCGCGCCGCTGCCCTTCCCGAGCGGCCCACGGCGGCGCCCCCGGCGCCCCCACCCGGGGCCGGTCCCGGCGGCCCGGAGCCGCGAGCCGGGGCGGGGTGGGGGCTCGGGAGCACGCGGCGGGCCGCGCGCCGGGCCTGGGCCGGCGGGAGGATGCTCTAACCCTCCCGGGCTCTCTCCCCACGTGGGGAGGCCACCCTGTGGCGCCGGCGTGCGCAGAAGCCTGGCGCGGCGGCCAGCGCGGGCAGGGTCTTCAGTGGGTCTGCGGGACGCCCAGCCTCCTTGGGGAAGGCTCTCCCGGCAGGGGTCCGCCGTTCCTGGGATGGTTACCGGAAATGAGCCGCGCGATCAGGCCCCTTCACGCCCACTTAGCTTTGCAGGGTTCGCAGTGTTTCCCGGACAAAAGGGCACCTACTAGGAGCATACCCCCTTTTCGTCCTCTCCCTCCTGCACCTCATAGTTCTCTGATCTCATACTTAGTCCCAGTGAGTGTACTCACAATCGTGCGACACCGTGTGTGACACCGGTCCAACCTGAATTGGGTTGGAGGCGTGAGGAAGGTCAGATTCGAATCCTGTGGTTCATGTTCTAAGAAGGCTGTGTCGAGTGTTTTAAGACTGTGGGGTAGTTCTGAGTTCTTGCCTTTATCGGTGTGTCTTGATGTTTTGGTTGTAATGGGTACCGAGCAGAATCTGTAAAAAGTATTGGTTCGATTGATACATTGTAGTGTCCAATTTATATTGACAGGGATTAGTTTCATATACTAGTTAGCAGCTGTGCTCAGTAATAAACAACAGAAATTTCTGAGGAAGACTGTTCTTCAGCATTCATAACTTGAAAGAGTTGGATTCTGGTCTTGTGAGGGAACTCTTAAAGCACTACAGCAAAACATTTATATATTTATATATTATTTACTTATTTATTTGAGTAGCCTAGCAGAGACCATGATTTGTGAATGGTCTCTTAATGTAAAAGTGACTTTGTCAACTACATGCATGAACACGTGGAGAGCATGCCTTGTAGGCACTTTTTAAAAAAACAGCTTTTCTGTCAGAGTTTGCCTATCATCATAGGCTTTCTTAATGTCAGGAAAACTAGTTTGTCTTATGCTCCTTTTTTTTTTTTTTTTCAGAAAAAGAACAACAAGAAGCAATTGAACATATTGATGAAGTACAAAATGAAATAGACAGGTAAAGTTTTTCATAAGTTTTCTGAAGCACCTTTAATTTCCTGGTAATCATTGAAACTCTGGTCAGCTAAATCTATATTCTCCAGTGAAAGGGAGCTCATTATGTCTTGGTTGGAAATACTATGTAGATTCATGTTATTTTTCCATGAAATATTTGTACAAATCACAAAAAGGTTTTGATGAAAATACTTTGACCCTGTAATGATTAGTTTTGCTTTTAAAGGCTACAAATTGTCCAAATGGTAGTGTAGTGATTTGTCGGGAACATGCATGAATAGTAGTGTAGTTTAGCATTATGGCATCAGTGTTGCTCTAACTTGCCTTGCAACTTTGTTACTCAATTAGTAGTTTTATTTAGAAATTCTGCTTTAGGGGGAAGTAAACTTGGAGTTTGCCTGGAAATAGTAAATGAATTAAGTATACAACCTTACCAGAATGTGGAGTTTGAGAATTGTAAGAACTGTTCCTTATTGTTGATAAAATTGCTATCTCAGTTTTAGTCTAGAGTAAAAAATTATTGTGATTTGATTATTGAAAGTGGGTATTTTGTGCAGTCCTAAGGCAAATAAGAATAAACATACATTCTGTAGTCTTCCACATTTTTGTATTTGTTAAATAACCATCATTGACAATATGTCTTTTCATTTACTTCAGACTTAATGAACAAGCCAGTGAGGAGATATTGAAAGTAGAACAGAAATATAACAAACTCCGCCAACCATTTTTTCAGAAGAGGTCAGAATTGATCGCCAAAATCCCAAATTTTTGGGTAACAACATTTGTCAACCACCCACAAGGTATGTTTTGGGTAGAGCACTATTAAAGATAATATAGGATGTTAGTTTATTAGAATAGAAGATGCTTACTGCATGAGCAGGGTGAAATCCAGTGAATGGAGATGTCTATTTAAAATAGACTATACTCTTAGAACTCAGTTTATTACTTGATTAAAGGTAGGGACCTCACTGGCACTGAACATTTTGGCTTTCTCTTAATAGGTTTAGGAAATAAAAAAATGCTCATTAGGGGATGGGGCTGTAGCTCAATGGTAGACCTCTTGCCTAGCACCTGTGAGGCTCGGGGTTGGATCTTCAACACCATATAAAAGTAAATAAATAAAATAAAGGTATTGTGTCCATCTACAACAATGAATGTTTTTAAATGCTCATTAAGGGGCTGAAGTTGTGGCTTAGTGGTACAATGCTCATCTAGCATGCATGAGGCACTGGGCTTAATCCTCAGCACCACATACAAATAAAATAAAGATGCCCACCTAAAACTAAAAAATAAGTTTAAAAATGCTCATTAAGGTGGGAAAGCTTAAAAGGGATCAATTAGATATTATTAATGTTAGCCTCTTTAAACTTTAACTGGCCTATAATTTGCTGGTCTAGTGTCCGCACTGCTTGGGGAGGAAGATGAAGAGGCGCTGCATTATTTGACCAGAGTTGAAGTGACAGAATTTGAAGATATCAAATCAGGTTACAGAATAGATTTTGTAAGTATGCACAAYCTTGTTTGCCATCATGGAAATTAATTTGAGCTTTATTGAACACCTGTTTATTGATTTCTCAATCCTTCATTGCAGTATTTTGATGAAAATCCTTACTTCGAAAATAAAGTTCTCTCCAAAGAATTTCATCTGAACGAGAGTGGTGATCCATCTTCAAAGTCCACTGAAATCAAATGGAAATCTGGAAAGGTATGCTTTAAGGAGTTAATGGACAAAAATAACATTTGTTTATTTTGTTTTGTAAATCCACTTAACCTAGTGCTTTTCTTAAAATATAAAAAATTTCAATGTGTTGAAGCCAAATACAATAGCTTATATGTCTCTTTAGAGCTTGTAAGTTGAAACTTTTTTGCCTTGTGTTGGTGATTGAGCTTTTCAAATGGCATGACATTTCTCAAAATCCATTTGAAAGTTACCTATAATTTGTAATTTGAAAGATTTTCTACTGTATTATTGAGGGTAGTTAAAGTGGGACTGATTTTTATGAAAAAGCTAAGTGTAGTTGATATTTCATCTGAGAAAGCAATCTTGTGCAACTTCGTCTCTGCCCACTGTATGTTTTATATAGTTAATTGCTTTTAGACAATAGTAGTATTTATACTGAACTCTGATATTTGTGGTGTTCTGTTTTGGGGGAGACTTTTTTTTTCCCCAATTGTATGGAGTTTAGGTGTGGTAGAGAAGTAGCACCAAAAGTTTTCTGGTTTCATTTTAGGATTTGACAAAACGTTCAAGTCAAACACAGAATAAAGCCAGCAGGAAGAGGCAGCATGAAGAACCAGAGAGCTTCTTTACCTGGTTTACTGACCATTCTGATGCAGGTGCAGATGAGTTAGGAGAGGTCATCAAAGATGATATTTGGCCAAATCCATTGCAGTACTATTTGGTGAGTTGACAAGTACTGTTGGGTAAATTAACACAAAGAGTACTTGTCTCGATTGTGGAAAAAAATGAGTTCTCGACTCTTTGTTTTTTTTAAGGTTCCTGATATGGATGATGAAGAAGGGGAAGGAGAAGAAGATGATGATGATGATGAAGAAGAAGAAGGATTGGAAGATATTGATGAAGAAGGGGATGAGGATGAAGGTGAAGAAGATGAAGATGATGATGAAGGGGAGGAAGGAGAGGTAAAATAAAGTTTGGCCAAACCCCAAAAGATAATGTACAAAGGTTTCACCATATGGGGTGGGGTTTTATATAGAGTATAATAGAACTGACCTGACATTAAGTGGGAGGATTTGGGGGGAAGATAAACTATTGCATTGTCTAAGAACTAGAAATGTGGTGAATGTGGTGGTGGGGATTGAACCCAGAGGTGCTTAATTAACTACTAAGCCACATATTTGCTCTTCATATTTTTTACTTTGAGACAGGGACTTGCTTTGACTTGGTGATCCTCCTACCACAGCCTACCAAGTCACTGGGATTACAGGCGTGTGCCACTGTACCCGGCAAACTGGAAATGTTTGCTAAGCTCATATTAATGATTTAACTAGGTCTGGTTTTCTGACCACAAAAGTCTCTTTTCCTCTTAGCCAGTACTTAATGAAGCAATATGGGTTTGGTTTTTTTTTTGTGTGTGTGTGTGTGTGTATGTGTTTTAGACAAAGTATAGAATCCCCCATTCCTTGTTTAATTGGTGCTAGAGATAGAATTTGCATGCTAGACAAGGGTTCTACAAAGGTACATCATGAGGGTAACTAAAGAGTTTTTAAATGGTTAAATTGGGGTAGACGGGTTGTGTTTAGATTGTTTGCTCTGAACTGTACCTAGTGATTTAGTTTTTACTGGGAAGTTATTTTTCTGGAATAATGTCTCTGGATCTTTCAACCTTGATTTAATGCAGATTAATAATACAGTGTCAGAAAATTAGGTGGTACCCAGAGCATATTGCCCTCTTGTTCCATGTGATCCAGTGGAAAGTTAGTGCACTTAGAATTAGCCCTTAAGTTAACTGCCCACTTTTTCTTTCAGGAGGATGAAGGAGAAGACGACTAATTGAACACTGATGGATTCCAACCTTTTTCTTTCTTTCTTTTGTTTTTTGTTTTTTTCTTTCTTTCTTT